GCCAGTGGGAGGACCAGGCGGGCCCAAGGGACAGTCTGCTGCTGACTCCACCCCTGCTTTCGTCCTCGGGGCCTCAGGGAAGGGTCCTGCCACTGAGTCCTGGGTTCAGACTCCGACCCCTCCACTTCCTGACCCCACTACGATTCCTGTCGTCAGTGAGCTGTGCCTCAGTTTCTCCATCTGCACGTGGTGAAGAAAGCAGCGGCCGGGGCAGACAGGGCAGGTAGGGAGATCGTGGGGCTGCAGAACGTCATTGTCCCTGAGTTCATGTGAGAGCCTTGGGGACTCCAAGAACAACAGGGGAGCCCCGGGGGGTCCTGCAGGCCCAGGGGTAGGGGAAGGTGGATCCCGGTCCCCGCGGCCCCACTGGGCCCTGAGAACCGAGACCCTGAGGGCCGAGACGCGTGCCCGACAGCTCCCGTGTGCAATCGTCTGGTGCGGGGCCTGCATGAGGCAGAGAAGCCCCCGGCACAGCAGTGGTCTTCGGCAAGCACTATTTCTGTCTTCCGTTTTTTTATTTCTTCCTTCTCCAAGTTTAAAATTAAAAATAGATGTTTTGAGAGCCCAGCAGCTTGGCAAGCAGGCCGGTCTCCGGGGACGGTCTGAGCTGCCTTTCGGTGGTTTGTGACACCTGCAGACAGTGGCACTGTGCATACAGTGGCATTCTAGACAGGAGTGAGAGAGAAAGCCCTTATTAGTCCGGGCAGATCCCAAACACTGGGTTGGGGGGAAAGAAGCAAGTCACAGAAGGAAAAGATCATTTACACGAAGTTTAGGAACACGGCACGTGACCTTCTATGTTCTTTGCCGGTACCTGTGGTCCCCACCTTCAGGAGAACCTTCCCTTGGGGACAGAGGGAGAAGCCATGAGGCTGGTGTGAGGGCACAGGGGGTGGGTCTGTGATCGCTGCCCACATAGAATGTGCCAGGCTCTCTTCCAACAGCCTCATCCAGCATCCCCATTTCACAGATGAGTACACCGAGGCACAGAGAGGTTCAGTGGCCTGTCCAAGGTCTCACCGTTAGCAAGTTGCAGGGTCAGGACTCTAACCCGGTGCTCGCGATCATTAACCCACACGGCCTCTTGCCTGTGGCTCATGGTTTCTCATGTCTGAAAGCGGCTGAAGCAAACGCGGTCAAATATTCGCATCGGCAAAGTGCATCGGTGTGTTCTTGGGAGTTTTTTCTTCTCTTCTTTATAAACGTTTGCAAAAGCCCTGGGGCTCCGGTCTGGGGCCTCTGCCGGCCCCAGGCCTCGTCCAGCCACAATCCACAGCACACAAGATAGTCCGGCTGCCGGGGGTGGCGATGACCGACTCGTCTCCGGTGCTCGCGAGACAACTCCCGGCGTGTTCCTCGGCTGCGGCTGATGGCCGTGGGAGGTCCGCGACCTGGAAGACAGGACTAACCGAGGACACCCAGGCACTCCCTGTGTGCCTTTCTACCATTGTTTTATCCCCCGTTGTATGTTGGTTTGGGAAGTCCCTACTGATCTGTCTTCAAGCACAGCGATTCTCTCCTTGGTACCATCCGGTCTCCTGATGAGCTCACCAAAAGCACCCTTCACTTCTGTTATGGTGCTTTTGATTCCTACCATTTCTTTTAAAATTGTTTCAAAAAAAAAAAATAAAATAAAATAAAATTGTTTCATACACTTTTCTTTAAAAATATATTTTTTTAAGGTTTATTTATTTTTGAGAGAAACAACGACAGAATGCCAGCGAGGGAGGGGCAGAGAGAGAGAGAGGGAGACACAGGATCCGAAACAGGCTCCGGGCTCCGAGCCGTCGGCACAGAGCCCAACGCGGGGCTCGAACTCACCGACTGCGAGATCGTGACCTGAGCTGTAGTCGGACGCCCAACCGACTGAGCCACCCAGGCGCCCCCATAAACTTTTCTTAATGCTTACGTTTCCCACCTGTTCCTGAATGCTGCCAGCTTTCCACTAGAGCCCCTAACATGCTAGTCATAATTCCAAATTCTGTGTCTTACCTCAGTCTGTTTCTGGTGCTTTTTCTCTTCAGACTGTCTTTTCCTGTCATTTATCACGCCAGGTAATTTTTCTCGAAAGCCAGACACGTTGGGGCGCCTGGGTGGCTCGGTTGGTTGAGCATCTGATTTCAGTTCAGGTCATGATCCCACGGTGTGTGAGTTCGAGCCCCACATCGGGCCCTGTGTTTTCAGCACAGAGCCTGCTTTGGTTCCTCTGCCCTTCCCCTGCTTACACTCTCTCCCTCTCTCTCTCAAAAATCAATAAACACGCACACACAGATGGGAATGCAAACTGGTGCAGCCACTCTGGAAAACAGTGGGGAGGTTCCTCAGAAAAACTAAAAATAGAACTACCCTACGACCCAGCAATTGCACGAATGGGTATTTATCCAAGGGATACACGTGTGCTGTTTCTAAGGGGCACATGCACCCCAATGTTCATAGCAGCACTATTGACAATAGCCAAAGTATGGAAAGAGCCCGGATGTCCATCGATGGATGAATGGATAAAGAAGATGTGGTGTATATACAATGGAGTAGTACTCGGCAATCAAAAAGAATGAAATCTTGCCATTTGCAACTATGCGGATGGAACTGGAGGGTATTATGCTAAGCGAAATTAGTCAGAGAAAGACAAATATCATATGACTTCACTCATATGTGGAACTTAAGATACAGAACAGATGAACACAAGGGAAGGGAAGCAAAAAATAATATAAAAACGGGGAGGGGAACAAAACATAAGAGACTCTTAAATAGGGAGAACAGAGGGTTACTGGAGGGGGTGTGGGGGGGAGATGGGCTAAATGGGTAAGGGGCGCTAAGGAATCTACTCCTGAAGTCATTGTTGCACTAGATGCTAACTTGCATGTAAATTTTCAATAAATAAATAAATAAATAAATAAATAAATAAATAAATAAAACATCTTGGAAGGAAGGAAGGAAGGGAGGGAGGGAGGGAGGGAGGGAGGGAGGGAGGGAGGGAGGGAGGAAGGAAGGAAGGAAGGAAGGAAGGAAGGAAGGAAGGAAGGAAGGAAGGAAGGAAGGAAAGCCAGACAGACACCTGTACGGGTAGCAGGAACTGAGGCAAATGGGGTTTAGCGTGAGGGTTTATGCTGACCCGGCTGGCGGTGCACTGTGGCTTATGTTTGCGGTAGCTGTAGGGGCTCCAAATTCCTCTGTGGTCCTTGTTTTGGTCTCCCCTGTTGTCTTTGAGCTTCACCAAGATCTCCTCTCAGATGGAGCGTGTGACCACTATTATCACGCCCAAGGCCTGTTGAAGTGGGAGGGGGTTGGAGTTGGGGACCCACCATCCCCCAGGGTGGATAAGGCTCTGGTAAAGCCTTTTTCCCTGGAGAGCAGGTCTTTGTTATGGAGAACGCTGTGGGCGTATCTCACAATGGCCACCTTTCCACTGGGGAGATTTCTGGAGGTACAAGGGCAAACTTATGGCCTCCTCCTTTAGATTGCCGCCCTCCTTCCCCCCAGGAGCTTCTCAGCCCCGCACTAGTCTGCTCTCAGCCCCCAGCAGGTCCTCAAAATGACCCTTTAAGCCTTCCTACCAGAGCAGATCTCAGCTGGAGACTCTGGATTTGCCGGTCTCTCCAGATTTGGGGGTGGCACTCAGCCATGAGTCCTGAGACCTCAGCTAGCTCTCCAAGGGGTCTGAGAAAAGTGGATTCTTAGTTCAGCTTTTTTCTTATGGGCAGGACAGGAGCCACAACTTTCCGGCTCTTTCATGCGTCAGAGCAGAAACAGAGGCTTGGATTCTCAAGCACCTGCTGTCCATGAGGGGCTTGGGGACTGCATTCCCTCATGGGTATCAGGGGACCCATAAGCCCGGCAGGCGACACAGGGCAGAAGCAGAGGCAGGGGCTGCAGGATGGAGAGCAGGATGCCCAGAGTGCAGGGGGAGGAGGCCCAGCAGTCACCGGCTGCAGGGGAATATGCTGGCCCCCGAGGGGAGAGAGGGAAGAAGCCTGGGGTGAGGACGAGGGTGGCTGTGGAGGCGGCCCATCCACCCTCCCCAACCCAGGCCCGGGTTTCACTTCTCCTGTGAGTCCCGGGCAGCAGGGACCGCCCTTTACCCCATTTTTAAGCGATTCCGTGGAATTCCCAGCCATTAGCTCCATCATGTCCCTCCCTGGCCCAGTCGGAGGCAGGACTGGAACCCCGTAGTCCCTGCACCTCCCGGGCTAAACAGCGCCCGGGGAGGAAGCTGCGGGCCCCGGCGGAAACGGGAAGCCCAGTCGGCACCTGGGGCCCCAAGAGGCGAGGCCACCGCCATTGTATTGAGAAAGGATCCCGGGAATGGGGGGGTGGGGGGGGCGCTGCTGGAACAGCGGGAACAGAGGCGGTGCCGAGTGCCGAGTTGCGCGCCGCGCCCCTCCTCCTTCAGCCCCGCCGGGGCGTCCCCGACCAGGGGTGGCCTCCCTGCGGGGCTGGGCCCCAACCTCGAGGGCCGGCGGGGTGAGCCCGTCCCTGCCCCGCGGCCACGGGCTCCCCGGGAGGGTGCGGCTCGCGGGAGGCGAGCGCTCAGGGCGCGGCCGGCGGCTCCCAGGGCGCGCGGGGCCGGGGTGCCCGCCCCCCGCCGCCGCCTCCCCCT